GCCCTCATCAGTCTGTTACAGAGAGATGCACCGAAATATCAACCAAGCATTTGGTGAAACTTACTCTCACTACCCCCTCCTCCGCCCCCTTCCCCTCCTCCTCCACTGCATTTGTACAACAGATTCATCTGCTTCACGTCTATCTCTGATGGGCCTTTTTTGTTACTTAGAGTAACCTAAAAACAAGGCAAGAGAGAGGACAAATAAAGATTGTTGTTGTTGTTGTTGATGTTGTATAATGAGACACACTTAACCACTGAATTATCAAATTTCAAGGTTTGATTCTGGGTCTTACTCCTTGTTTCTTGGCTACAATGGTCGGTCTTCTGTTTGCGCTGAAGGCGTAACTCTGGTAGTGCATCACACTCCTGTAGTCGTATGGAGTGCCAAGAGAATCAATTGTGGAGCGTGGGTACTTCTTGAAAGCATACTCAAATCCTGAATGAAATTTAAAAAATGCTCGGAGTTACGCCATACTTTTATTTAGTGAGGAAGGTGGTCTTATCAATTTGCTGGAAGCTTCCGAGGCCCTGGATACAAGCAAACCAGACTACTAGTAAGAGTTTCGCATGCCAGCTGTCCTGAGCACAAATACTTTTTTGCCTACCATTTGGCATTCATGATCAGCCCATTTGTGGTTTTCAACGTTATTTTTATTCCCGTTGTTCAAAATCTGTTTAGTTGGCAATGAGAGCCTGTGCAAATTTTCTAATTAATTACAACAACGATACTTATCGTAGTTAGATTTTCACTTGCTGTGGTGCTGCCCCNTTCACGACACACTGGAAAATGAGAAAAAAAAGCAGTCCATAACTTAATACCATGCGAGAAGGTGCATTTACAGTGCTTTATTGTAAGGGTTACCATAGAATTTCAGATGGGTCAAACAACGTAAATAACAACAGAAACATGCGTACTTATTTCTTGTGAGAGATAATGTATTCTCTTGGTGATAATGTGTTATCTTATCTTATTAGTGTACCCTGTTTCATAAAATCAGTCATACAAACCCACCAATCTCATGTGCAACAGTGCGCGGGTTCCAGCATCCACTGGCAAGGGAAACCATCTGTCTTCTTCCTGTCCGTCCCACATATGACGTGCATCTGGCAAATAATTGAAGATTAATCCCAACGAATTGAAAGCAATCACAAGAAAAGTCGAAAGTCAGATATTTTCTTTATTTGACTTCTGAACGAGGCAGGCCGAATATGTGGCTGAGCCCAATAATGGTGTTGAATTTATGTACAAATTGGTGCCACTTTAATGCTTACCCTGAGCCAATGTGAAAGTAGGCATAAGCGCTCTCAGTTGTCCTTTTCTTGAACCGCACACACGTTTGAGTTCTCCACAAACTCATGGCACCATCGATTGCTGACATAGCTCTTGAACTGCTCTCTATTAGTAATGATTGAAACGCGTACATTCGATAAATTTGCAAGCATTAGGAAGATGGTAAATGTTTACAGCATGCAGCTTACAATCAGTATCAATCCGCACTTACATTGTAAAATCTGGTTGAGGCTACTGGTAGCTACTGGTATACAATAAAATTCTGCATTATAAG